AAAACACAAACAAACCAAAAAAAAGAAAAACTGAAAACAAACTGAGGGTTGATGGGGGGTGGGAGGGAGGGGAGGGTAGGTGATGGGTATTGAGGAGGGCACCTTTTGGGATGAGCACTGGGTATTGTATGGAAACCAATTTAACAATAAATTTCATATATTGAAAAAAAATGTCAGTTGCAGACATACTAACATCTGTCATTTAATTGCTAAATATGTACATGTATTAAATCCCAAAGTAAAACACATAAAAATTTTAAATTATTTTCTATACTTTCATGTATGAAAGAGTGCACAATTTAGAAAAATAAAATATAAAGAATTAGGTAAAAGAGGAAAAGGTAAATTCTGAGATGTGGGAAGGCAGGACAGGAAATCAAGAGTCAGATGCTTAACCAACTGAGCCACACATGTGCCCCTCTTTCCAATTTCTAATTTTAAAGTAAATTCTGGGAATACTAGAGGTATAAATAAACTTGATACAGAGAGGTTAGTATTAATTTACAAAGACATGTGAATACTCGTGTTTTTGTTGCTTCAATCGTATCTTAAGCTATTTTATCGTTTAACAAAATCTTGGCTAGGAAATCAGTGGTATCCAACTGTTCTTGTATGTTGGAATTGTATGTTGTATTTGTACCTATATGTTGGAATTGATGTGTTCACATAATTATGACTAATATTTATTTTATATCTTGTATGAATAGCCTTTTCACATTTTTTCTCCATATTTCTTTTTTTTTTTTAAAGTTTTATTTATTTATGTAATCTCTACATCCAACACTGGGCTCAAACTCAAGATCCCAAGACCAAAAGTCACACTCTCTTCTAAATGAGCCAGACAGGTGCCCCTCTCCATATTTATTTCTATGAGCTCTTTAAATATTTAGGATCATTATCCCTCTGTTCTATTCACTATGAATATTAGGCCCAATGTGAGGCTTGACTTTTAATTTTGTAGGTTTGCAAGATTCAAATCTTATACTGTTAGGTAAATGATCAACATTTTGTTTGTGATTCTCTTCATTTGCTCCTGACCTTAGAAGATCTGACATTGATTAAACTTAAAAAAATTTTTTTCAATGTTTATTTATTTTTGAGAGACAGAGAGAGACAAAGCATGAGGAGGGCAGGGGCACAGAGAGAGGAGACACAGAATCCGAAGCAGGCTCCAGGCTCTGAGTTATCAGCACAGAGCCCAACGCGGGGCTTGAACCCACAAACCATGAGATCATGACCCAGGCTGAAGTCAGACACTTAACTGAGCCACCCAGGCTCCCGATTAAACTTTTAAAATCCATTATGTTTTCTTTTTTCTGTTGCCATAAACCTGTTCTGCTGTCTACCTCTAATAATGGTGACAAGCTAAAAACGCTGGAGCACCCTTGAACACTTCCCTTTAGGGAAGGTAGAGGAATCAGTGTTACCAGGCTAAGAAGACGGGCAGGCCATTCTCTGGCCTTGTCATTCTCATGACCACCAGTGCATCCTTCCTGAGAGTACCCTCAGAACCATAGGTTAGAGTGTGACTTGCTGCCTGTCTAGGCTTTACTGAAAGTGCAAACCTTTCTTTCTGGAGTCTCTGTAACATACACAGTTTTATATCTGATGAGGTTTCAGTAAGACAATGCATTCGACAGTATACCATAGAACTATAAAATGTTCTATAAATATTACCATGAACACCAGTTAATAATAATAGCAGGAGGGAAGGAATAAAAATTTTTACAATTTTACTATGGAAGGAATACAACATGAGACAAAAATAAATTCACTAGAAATCTCACCGAAGATCCAGACCAGCTTCTTTCCAAAGTAAATCCATCAAGCGCAACATCTGGAGTGTCAACATATCTTGTCGTAAATCTAAGGGGGGAATACTCTGCTTTATTATAAATGCTTTCCACGTTATGTCTAATAACATTAATTCAAGACTACTAATTCAGACAGAACTAAAATCAATGACCAATAGTGTTAATATTTTCCCAAAACTTTAATGTTGAGTATACTTATTTTGTTAAATATTAGGTTTGCTGGCTAGCATGTGCCTGTAACACTATTTCAGAAATTAAGGTAAATTTTTTTTTTTGAGAGAGAGAGAGGGAGAGAGCATGCACGCTCGCACAAACAGGGCAGAGGGAGAGAGAGAATCCCAAGCAGGCTACACCCTCGGTGTGAAGCGTGATGCAGGGCTGGATCCCACAACCCTGGGACCATGACCTGAGCTAAAACCAAGAGTCAGACGTTCAACTTACTGAGCCACCCAGGTGCCCCAAAGTAAGTAATATTTTTAATAGGGGTGTCTGGCTGGCACGGGCAGTTGAACATGTGATTCTGGATCTCAGGGTCATGAGTTTGAGCCCCACAAACTCACATTGAGTGTAGAGATTACTTTAAACAAAATAATTTTCAATTGTTTACCACGTGTAAGCTACAATACTGATTGTATGGATGACGTAATACTGTATAACACAGGAATGGCTATCTACAACATCTATACAATTCACACTGCTGATTTTTTTCTTTCCTGGTTGCATTTAGGGATGCACAGGAAGTTCTTAAAAATCACATAAGGAATTGTATGGTATGACAGATTACAGAATTGTAACAGTTGATTTTATTTGTTATCATATCCAAGGATAATTTTGAGGTAACAGAGGGCTTTGAAAGTATTGCTTTACATAGTAACATTCATATCATCAAGTGGGATTAGATGTCTAGCAAAACACTACAAGTTCTTTTTAAAATAGTTGTAAGCACACATATTATGGTAAGCATATTTACTAATGTACCTTTTATTCTTTTTAATAAACCCAACATACAAATACTATAATCCTTATGACCATGAAGAACCTGAAGTGCAATGAATTTTACGTGACTTATCTGTAATCATAACAACTAATGAGTGGTGGCTGTCTGGTTGGTGTAATCACCTCAGAGGCATTTCCTGTCAAAAAATATGAGTCATTAAGACATTTTAATTAAAATATAAAACTATGGCAGCGATATCAAAATTGTTGTCACTGAAACAGAATGTATGAATATACTACTGAAAATACTGTACTTCACAAGCTTCTTACCAAAGAATTAGACAGACTTTGTATTTTGTAGGAAAAAAAGATTTATTAGAACAGTGTATGTAAGTAAGCTGTAAAGATATTTTCTAAGAGGAAAAAAAAGGGATTCACAGGACACGCCAAATTCAACCTTATGCCCATTGATAGCTACCTCTGGGCTTGCATCTGTTATACGTTTACATATCATTTTTCATATAAAGCAAACTGACAACAAATGAAAAATACTAAGGAATTTGGTACTGTAAAAATCTCAGTACATACCATCACCATTTTTAAAAATCACTCCAACTGAATCCTCACCAAAAACTTTGTTGTTGTACACGAGCCACAAAGGCTTCATTTTGGAATCCATGTATTTACATTTTTCAACACTGAAATCAAACAAGGGGGAAATTAGTGCACTTCAATTTAAAGAAATGGCAAGACTGTAAATTTTGCCATGATGTATTAGACTTGGGGAAAACCCTCACCTGTTCCAATCAGGTCTGCAGAAGTCAAAACTAGAACATTTCCTCTTGGTAAAAAAGCAACTGGGGTGACAGCTTTGGTTGGCCTGTAGTGATGCCAGATGGGCTAGACTGAAAACCCAGATTTGCCCTTCTCACTACCTACGTTTAAAATTCTTCCTTTTCTTTCTTCTTTCCTTTCTTTCTTTCTTTCTTTCTTTAAAATTCTTCCTTTCTTTCTTTACTATTCTTCCTGAACTCTATGTTATTACAGATAGTCAATAACAACCAGATTATAGCATTAGATTAAAATTAGGAATATTATAACTTCATTACTTCTTACAGGGGGATCAACTTTGAATCCTAACACAAGGGGATACACATCATTACTTTTCTATTATTACTTTTGAAGGGAATGAAAAAGTGAGAAATAATTTTCCAAATCAATTTAAGATCTAATTTTGAAATAGGAAAATAACTTAGTTAATAATCTATGATGGTTGCCAACATTTTGCATACATAGGATGTTCAACCCTTAGAAACCAGTAACATAGAAAACAAATGTAATCACATACAACTGAAAGGAAAATACCTTGTAATAACTTTCATGGATCCCACAGGTAAGTTTAGCTAGTAGGCATATGTCCCAGTACACACAAAAATAACCTCTGAGAAATTTAAGAGTTTCCTTCTTTAAATATACAGTACTTACTGGAGCTAACAGCTAGCCTTATTGCTCCTGCAAGGCAGTCACTCAGAAATTCTTTCTGCATTGCTATTTTTATGGAAAAGTCACTGAGCACAGCAAAGATGGTCACTTACTAGAGTTCTGAGAGGATGACACACGGATTCAGAGGTGACTGCAGGTCAGAGAGGGCTTCCCGGTAAGCATTCTGTTTTAAACAAGTATGCATGGCCTCCTTCCCTTTGGCTCTGTTTAGCTTCATTGCATTCAGTTTGATTAAACTATTTAAAGTTTTTAACTTATTGAGTGCTTCAACCTGAAAAATAAGTTTCCCCACCAACAAAATTTATTTATGGTTAAAAATAATATAAAATATTATAGTATCATGTGATCATATTAATTAATAACTAATCCTTTCCTCTCCCCAACACAAGCCCTCAACAACCAGCCAAAGTAAAATCAGTGCTTAGCTTATGACAAACATATTAAATATAACAAGACTAAAAAACTTATTTTTATCACTTTTGACTTAAAGTACTATTTTTCAAATGTTCTTCAATCCTTTTGTTAAATAATGTCTTAATCAGAGAAAAGTAAAAGGACATAAATTGTGGGTAAGAAGATGACACTTAAAGTACTCAGAACTCTGCAGCTCACTGAGTAGAATTTGAAACACAATCTGAACCACTCCGTTTGTTCAATTCCATAGTAGAAGAGGAAAATCCTTGTACAAGTAATCCTGGGGATCCTGTCATTCAACCTTAACATCTAGTTTTTGTCATCACTCTTGTGTGATATCTTCTCAATATAATCTCTTGCCACGAATAGTATAGTTAAATGAATTATAGTGTAATAAAATAAATATGAATATAGATAACAGTAGTTGTTGTCTAAGTCTATAGTATTTGTATGAAGTAACTTCGGCTATCAAAACTTATGCAAATAAAAAAACTTTATGCAATTAGTACAAGATCAATCAACGGTGCCCAACTGAATCAAAACCATTGTGTTTAAAAGTCAACTTCATTGTTTAATAACTGAGATCTTTCCATGTCATGTTATGCAAAAATCCATTAGAAACAGCCTTGGCCAACCATAAGTCATAAGAAAGGGTATTTTATTTTGTTATTATGTCATTAAAACTGAAACAGCTTGTTAATATAAACATATTTATATTAACATGTAAATTATATATAACAAGCATATAAAACATCTATACAACAAACATGAACACCTTGGCTTGAACTTCCATGAACAGGAGATTTATTTTACATAATGTTTTCGTTTTTGAACTTTGCTTCTATGAAAAGAAACCACTAAGACTCTGTAGGAATGTGAATTCAGTCATGCAGTTTTTATAGACAGGCTGAGGGCTTGCTCACAGGAAACTGGAAGGTTCTATGTAGCTTGATGAAAATCGAGATGGCTGAAGCTTGCCAAGTTAGCCACAGACACTCCATTTCTCAACAGTTTCAGGAGCTGTACAAACACTGGTGAAAAGGGAACCAGTTGAAAAACAGACTGTGCAAACAGGAACTTTTTGAAGTATTTCAAATTTGAATTTCTTCTATGTTTGTACAGTTGCGAATTTCAGGCCCCATCACTAACTGTATTGATATCCATTTCCTGGAATAGTGTCCTGAATACCCACATGGCCGTAAGTCAAAAACTTTAAGTGTTTCAACACCCTATCTTTTCATAGGTTTACAGTAATAACAAGAACTGCTATGTAAAGTGTACTGCCTCCCTCTTGCTACTCATCAGTCAAGAGTAAAAATGTAATCATACATATGTCATATGTACACTGTTATAAAAGGCAAGCTGAGGTTGGGGCACCTGGGTGGCTCAGTCAGTTAAGCATCACACTCTTCATTTTGGTGCAGGTCATGATCTCACAGTTTGTGAGACTGAGCCCTGCACGGGGCTCTTTGCTGATAGCACAGAGTCAGCTTGGGATTCTCCCTCTCCCTCTGTCCTTCCCCTGATCACTCTCTCTCACTCAAAATAAATAAATAAATAAACATTAAAAAAAAAAAAAAAAGTCAAGCTAAGGTTCCCAGAGAACCAAGAAAATGTACAATGTGGTTTGATCATGAGTGAGGTCAATTCATGATGTAGGACCTCATCAAGCAGGGCTTTACAAGCTTTGGTAAAAGTTCAGGGGAGATCCTTTCCACATGCTAGGTGAGATGCTGCTGGATTCATTAATCAATCAATGAAGTCAATTAGATCTTAAAATTCACTGCTGAAAATTTTGTGGCAGCTTCAGGATCTGATGCAAACTTCCAGTGGCATTCAGGAATGAGAAACACAGGTGTGGTACCATGAACCCTTTTGAATTTACTGTCTTTCTCACCATTTCCCTCTCGGTTCTGAGCTCCGCTCTCTTTGCATCAAGCTCCTGATCTAACTGGTTTTCCTTTACAGAGCAGGTCAGATTGAGTTGGCAGACGTATCTGCCTAGAACTAAGCCCCTAGCCTTTCAGAACACAATTTTCCAGGTGGAAAACCCCAAGTCTTAGTTCTGTCCCTGAATTCCACATTGGAAACTGCTGACAGTTTAGTCTGCAATTCTCCATTTGTTTGAAATCTTTCCCTGTTGGGAACTGCTGGAGGCAGCTGTGGTTCTCCATTTTATTTGGAATGAGTCCATCCTCCATATTCCTTGGCATTTGCTGGTTTATCCCTTCCAAAGTCCAAGGTTCCATGGGAATTGGTGGTGCATACAGGCCCTTTCTTGGCCAAGACACAGTAACATCTCTCAGTTACTGTGGTATAATAAAATGCACATATTTTTTGGTCTTGTTTTGTAGAAATAAAGGCTACTCCTAACAGATCTCAGAGGTCAAAAAGCTGCAAAAAATGGGCCATGCAGTCAAAGGCTGTTAGAGCATCTGCCACTTTAAGAAGACTCCTGTAACAGGGTAAATTGTTCATGAAATGGGTTAGACTGACACTAGGTCACCTGCCAACATCAAGAAAATTTCTGTGTGAAAAGGGACACTGTAAACATGCCATAATTCCCAACCCTACCATGTCTCTCTTAGGTATTACTTTAACTCTAAGAAACCCAAAGGTCTAGCTAAAACAAACAGGATCCCTTAAATCTAAAGAGTTGAACACACTACCTTCCAGTCCAACTGCTTATTTTATGTCTAAGAATTACATGTAGGGGAGCCTGGGTGACTCAGTTGATTAAGCATCTGACTCTTGGTTTTGGCTCAGGTCATGATCTCACAGTTCGTGAGTTCGAGCACCACATCAGGCTCCATGCTGACAGCCTGCTTGAGATTCACTGTCTCCCTTTCTCTCTGCTCCTCCCCTGCTCACTCTGTCTCTCTCTCTCTCTCTCAAAAAATTAAATTAAAAAAAATTATTAAAAAAAAAAAAGATTTACACGTAGAGGCCACTTTTAGACAATAGGCTTGAGCAATGGAATGTAAAGCAAGGCAAAAAAAAGACCCACAGGAGCCACGTGGCTGAATACAGACAGACCCATCAGGTGACCCACCTCAAAACATCCATAAGCCCAAACAGACCAATGGGCTACTGACAAAGAGGCACAGTTACCAAAAAAGAGAAAATTCCATAGGTCCCCATACCTCCTCACCTTCCCCCTCTAAAAACAGCCCTAATCTACTGCCACATTGCAGAGAGTCTCTCCTTTGCTGTCCTGCCAGCCTCTCTTGCAGTGTACTCAATAAACTTCTATCTCCTTTGTTCTGTGTGCCTGGGGTGAATCCTTTCACCACCCTGAACTATTCACCCAATCATCGCTCCACATTTGGGGCCCTCATCCAATCAGGAAAAACACCACATTACAGTCCAGGAAATTTCAGATAGCTAGTAAAATGGCAAAATCTTACTAATGAAAACGTAGAAAGGTAACATTCATTACGTGGAAATTTCCAATTAGATAAGACATTTAGGAAATGCACTTGAAAGCAAGCATTCCCAAATTAAACAAACAGAATGGGATATCCACTTATTAGTAAGCAGAAATCTCCAGAAGGTTTCAAAATTCCAAAATAGTTTCATTGAAAGATTCATTGCAAAAGCTAATGAAAAATTAAAGAGAGAAGGTATTTAAAACAAAAGACTGTAACAGACTGAGGCATAAAAGTGATGTAATTCCTACTGCTCTCCTCTATCCTTTGATTATCCATAACCCTCTATCTGAACTGCTTTTCCACTCTAAAGACACTATTGAACAGTTAACTTATAAAATAAGACCACTTGAGGCTACAGGCCATTCTCTGCAGGTTATCTTTCACATCTTGCTCAAAGGCTGAACTGAGGGCCACAGTCAAAGAACTTCTTAAACCAGGGAGGACCCTGAAATCTTTTGTAAAGAGATTACCTCTGGAGCCCAGTCAAGAGAGGGAAGTAAAATTTCACACTGTCCCTTCCTTTCCAGTTCCTGACCAATAGGTTATTGATCCTTTCTCTCCCAGAGAAGGCTATTTCCTTCTTGCTGGTCTTGTTTCTTATCCTAGGAACTTGGCTTGGCTTTCTGGTCACCTGAGATACACAAGTTGTTCTTTTGGCTATCTTTGGGAGTGACTCTAGATCTTGTGAAGACAACTTCTTTTGCATCCACTTTGAAGATGCCTCTTAGGTCTATGGGACTGTTTAATACAGCCAGAGACAGTTAACTGTCAAGGCTGAAATCTTACAAGATATTTTAAAGGACTGAGTAACTTTATGATCAGAAATTTGGCCAAACTGGAAGATAATATTCAGAGCCTGACAGAAATTTTTTTAGGCCTTCTCCCCTAAGCTAAATTGGAAGCTGATATTCAGAGCCTGATAGGAATTTTTTAGGCTTTCTCTCCTACACTTACCCACAGGGAAAGAAAAACACTCTAACATAGGTGGATAGGTGTGTCGGCCCTTCGATATAATTTAGGCAGCAACCCAATTCTTTGAGGAATTAAAAACAGCTGCCCTTGTTTTACAAACCTAGTCTTTACAGGACCAGAGATGTAGCTCCAAAAACAACTCAAAATCCACCAATACTTTTTACCAAACCCCAAATCTCCCCTATTTATCTCAGTAGGCTTGGAAGTATTATAAATTCTGGTCTTAAGAGAACAAAAGTTATAGAAGAGCTTACTTTTTTTCCCCCCTGTGCCTTTAAGATATAAATGTTCTACCAGAGTATTCTCCATAATTCTTATCTAGACCATCTCTTTGACATACAAACTTCAGGGAGGTAACTCTTTAATTTTTTTTTTAATGCTTATTTATTTATGAGCGAGAGAGACCGAGTGCCAGCGGGGGAGGGGCAGAAAGAAAGGAAGACCCTTCTGGGTC